GAACTGCACAAAGTCTCTGTTGCAGGAACAGATCAGGAGGAGCCAACTGTTTTCTGAAGAATAAAGGCCTGCATTCAAGTGTTTGCACTGGATTAAATATGAAAGCATCCTTTAGCCTGTTGCTTTGGTTTCTCTGGCAGGAGTTTATCCAGAAGTTTCACCTTTGCTGCACAGCCTAGATTCATTCTGAAAGGTAAAGCACTGGGTAAATTGGGTATTGTGTGTCCTGAGGGAAGAAATGGTGTGCATGGCTGTGAAAATGCATTGGGAGAAAAAGATCTGGGCTGAAATCATACAGACAACTTGGGTACCTCCAGAACTTGAGGATTTTTCCCGAATCCTCCTTTTCTGTGTAATAGACGTGTAATCTGTGTGACAGGGAGTATCAAGTAGGCTAAAGCAAATCTGGTAGGGGAGAGTGAGTAGTCCTGTGATGATGTGAATGAAACCTACTGACTCCTCAGCAGATCTGGTGCAATTTTAGATCCCACACTGACCTGGGATACAGGGACTGAAAAGAGGAGATTATTGTTAGCACCCATCTGTGAATGAGTTGAGGGGAGAGAGAGGATGTTACTGCATGAGTATTTGCTGACAGCAGAGGTGTTCGGGCCAGGCAGCCTCTGAAGGAATGTACAGGGTATAACTGTTGTGGCCTGTTCCCTTCTCTCCCTCCCTTGGTACACACCAGTAGAATTTGTGTCCTCTGCCCAACCTCTTCCAGTGTACCTCAGCCATGCCTCTGCTCCACCCATGCCTTGCCATCCCCATCCTAGGTGTCTTCTGGCACTGCCTCCTCCTCATCCTCCTGTTCCCTCTCCCTGCATCCCCATCCCCAAGACTGGGGCTCACATGACACCACAGATGCAGATGTGAGGCTATTGGTTTTCCTGGAGGAGAGGCCTGGCCGTGTGGATTGTGGAAAGTGGATCCAAAATTTAGTTTGTTCTGTGTTCAAAAGAGTTTGAGTTATTTTTGGTCTCAGCAGGGCCTGTTTCAGGGCTTTTACCTTCTATGTCGCTCATCTAACTGTTTTGGTATCTTTCATTCTCTTTTTCCCCAAAAAAACTGTTCCAACCAAGGTTTCTTGGAAACACTAAAGGGGGCTAAAAATCCCCCTTGGTTTAAAAACAACAGAATAAACCAAAAACATGAAGAACTTTCAATTGGGAATTTCACCACTGACACCAAAAGAGATTGTGTGGTCTTCAGTATTGGATAGTGTGTGTGTGGGAAGAGGATACTTGATTCTTCTCCATCCTTGGAGAGTCAGATATAATCCCATCCTTTTGTCTTAGGTAAAGACTTTTGGTTTGTGTTTTGGCTCGCTCTGTTCCCAAAATAATTGTCAAGAGTAACATTTCTGAGCAGATACAGGAGGGCAAGACACTGGAAAACCATTTTAATTTTATCCTGTAGCAATAGGTGACTTAAAAAAAACCTGTTCCCTGGTGAATTATTTTGTACTCCCTGGTTAGTTATTTCTTGTATGCATATATATATTTATATATGCTGGTACTCTTCATATTCGTTTCTTTGCTTTCAAATGGTCTATCCAATTTGCATTTCTCTCTATGGATCTTTCACATGAATCTCCCTATGCAGCCATCCTACCAAGCAATCACAACTCATTGCAAACTTTTTTTTTTTATTTCTGTATCAAAACATAAGAAATTATTCTTTTAAAGTGATGGGTTTTTTTCTTCATTCTGTTACGTACACCTCCTGCTCATTAGCAACAAATATTTGCTGAAGAAGTGGAAAGCAGCTTTTTGTTTATTTTAAGTGATAATAGAACAAGTTTTGGCCCAGAAAGAAAAGTTGTGGCTAGGAAGGAGAATGATTCCCAGTGTCAACCATATGTTGCATTCATCTAACTGAAGTGGCTTAATTACTGGTAGATGTTGCTGAGCTCATAAATATACCTTTTTGCCAAGATTGTTTGCTGATAATTGCATTCCCCCCCTCCAAAAAAAAATTAAAAAAAAAACCTGAAAAACTTCATCCCACCAAGCTTCCCTTCCAGTCTTCCTTCAGCACCCTTTCCCTTTAGATGTACACCACAGATTCACATCGAGAGATGCTTGTATGAAAAATTTCTGGAGGTCCACTATTGTTAAAGCTCCTGTCTTGGTCTCTCTTGGAGCAGGGGAGAAACTGCAGTAGCCGTGCTCTGCTCCTTGGGAGAGGGAGCAGTGGTGATTTTGGAGTAGATTATTCCTCTAATTGCGTAGCTGGTTTCAGTCTGGGATTAAGGTAGCTCAAATAATGACCTGACTTTTTGTAGCTGTAATGAGCAGCAAGCTCGGTCCTTCAAGACCCCTGATATTTTGAATCCTTTCCAAAAATATTCCTGTCGTCAAATCCAAAGTGGAATTCGGGATTTAGCGCTAAGGGGTAAGTGGGTTGGCGGTAACAACCGGCAGCCTCCCTCCGCTTCTGCCTATGCATTCTCATGATAAAGGGCACTTTAAAGCCCCTCTGACAATGAATGAGTCCTAGTTAAATATTTCAAGAACTTCTTTACATGGTTTCCTCTGATGCATGTACTGTTGAGACATCTGTCTTCCGTACTAATAAAGTAGTCTAGATTTAAAATGAACTTCATTGGATTGCTTTGAAACTATAGGCACATATGGTTCATAATTAGCTGGATATCTCTTATAGTTAAATGATTTTTTTTTTCTCTCCCTCTCTCTCTGTCGCCCATTCGCATCAATAATAGAAGCAAACAAAGTTCCAATTGTTCCCTGTTGCGGGACATTATGTGCCTGAATAAATGGATGTTGGCTGTGTCTACATGGATTTGCCATATGGCTACAAAGGCCGAAAGAATAGGGGCAGTGTGCTTTGTGCCGGGGCGAGGAGGGCCGGCCGGGCTGGGTGGGGCAGGGCGCGGGGGCGGCCGCACACCTTCCCGCACCCCCGGGCCCCGCAGGGCTGCGGGACCGGCCCTCCCTGCTGCGGGCTGCGAGCCCCACGGCCCCGCTCGGGCACTGCCCATCGCCTGGAATCATCTGCTTTATAGCCCCGAGCCTAAACTGTCCCCGCGGTGAGAGTTTTCCTCCGGAGCCAGGCTGGGCACACCTCGTGCCTCCTCCGGCCGAGGTATTTTGGGAGCTCGGAGCAGGGATCTTTCATTGCAAAAAGTCCTATTATTAGTTGCGGGCTGGGACAATGGAGGTCCCAAAGGCACCTGCTTTCATGAAAGCGAGAGAAAAGCCCATAAATCCTGGAGGATCCAGCTGCCTCACTCCGGGTATTGTTGGCTTTCATAAGGAAAGGGAAAAGCTATTTTTCTTTTCAAAGGGGGGGGGGGGGAAATCGTATTGAGTCAGCGGCCACTGATGCGGGCGTGTAAAATAATCCCGTTCTGATTAAGCGATCATGGAGCTGGAGGTAATCAATGTTACTTTTACAGCCAGGAGCGTTTGGCGGCCGTGACAGCGGGGGGAGAGATTGGGGGGGAAGAGGGGGGGGGCAGAGAAGAGCGCTGTGACGGGGGAAGACGATGTGGGCAAACCTTGAGCCTTATTCATCCTGAACCCCAGTCTCTCAGCTCCCTCCCCGCTCCATGGAAGTGTATAATACACAGATCAGAAAGCCAGGGAGTGACGCCTTCTTGGTTCGCCCCAGCTGCTCGGTCCAGTGTGGGGGTGCAGCATTTCAGAGGTGCAAAGTTGGGGACTGGAATCGGAAAGGCATAAATCAGTCCAGCGAATCTCCACGTCCTGGTCCTCCTCCCCATCCGCGCTCTCCAGCATCCCCATCTGCAGCACCTGCAGCCAGCACCAGACCTGGTCTGTCCCCCTTTCCCGGGCAGCTCAGGGCTGGGATTCAGAGCAGGGCCTGTGCCCCAATCCCTCTGGGTTGCGTGCAGATCCGACGGCTTTCACCTGCCCTCGGGCCATGGGGACGAGGTGATGCCACAAAATGCTGCCTGGTGCAGGGTTGTGACAGCACTGTCACCAAAGCACTGTCAAAACGCTGTCTGTTTCGTCTCGTGGAAAGGTTTATTTTGTGTGAGTGTTGTTTTGCTTTTTACGTCTTTTAGGGCGAAGTGAAACTGCTGCCTTTCCCAGAACTGTTGTGTGTTTGTCCTGTAAATCATTGCTGGGCAAGAGGTACCAGGAAGTGCTTCCCTGCAGTAGCCAGGGCTCTGGGCTCCAGGCTGGGTGAGCGAGCGGCCGAAAGAGAAGGAGGGGGAAGGTCTGCACAGCCACGACAGGGGCGTCGCCCCTGTGCTGAGCCCGCTGAGGTCCATGAGCACCGGTCACCCCCCGATGCTGTCCCCAGCAGGCAGGCAGCGGCCCCAGCCGGTATGGGGTGAGGGGGGCGGCCCTGGGCCACCAAGGGGGGCAGATCCAGCCTCGCGAAGAAAGGGCGAACTGTTAAAAGTAACTATTACAACGCGCCCAAAGGCTGAAATCAGGGTGTGATGAAGGGCGTGTGCTCGCCTGATGCTTGGTTTACTCCGGCAGCACGCAGGAGGTTGGACTTGTTTTTAAGGGAAGCCCTCCTCTCCCCTCCGAATCACACACCCGCTTGTCGCGGCGGGGCGCTGGGGAGAGAATCGCCCTTCCCGCTGTGGGTCGTGCTCCGGGGGTACCCGGGGCTCCGCGCCGAGGGGAGACTCCCCTCCAGAGAGACACTCCGAGCTCGGCTGGGGTCCCCCGCCCAAGCCGCCGGGGTTGGCCCTGCCACCCCCCCGCCCCCCGGACTTCCCCTCCAGCACACACCAAGCAGGCTTGAGGCCGTTTCCTGACGTTTATTTAATTTTATTATTGAAGTTATGGCATTATTTGCGATGGCAGTGGTACAGACCGGCTCAGGATCCATTGAAACAGATTTGTCTTCAAGTAAAGTCTAAAAAATATTTTGATTCATAGCTACATCTTGTGAATAAAAAAAAAAAAAAAATTCCACTATAAAAATAAATTTACATTTTGTGAATAACAAAAGCAAATATAGTGCCCTTTGGCTTAACCAAAACAAAAAGACTATTGGATGTCAAAGTTATCCACGTTTCTGACATAAATAGAAAATATAAGTTAGTATAACTCTTAAAAAGTTTTGTACAAATATACACTTGTTTTTTTAATTTTTCCTTTTTTTTTGCACTGAGAGCTCAGCAGAGATTAAACATTTCTTATAAATGACTTTTAAAGCTTTACACTTCTGGCCAGTGTACTCACATTAGGCATAATACATTTCTATACAGAACGTCATACATTGCACTGTTGTACGGTAACACTGCTCCGTGCGCGGCCGGCGCTGCGGCTCCGCTCCGGTTGCCGCTGCCGGGCCAGGCGGGCGCGGGGGGGTCCCGGCTCGCCGCGCCGCCCGCGCCTCCGGGGCGTCGCGCCTCCCGCGGCGGAGCGCCTCTCCCGTGGGTGCAGTAGTGCAAAAGTCTGGAGGAGAACAAAAAAGAGGAGGGGGAGGGAAAAAAAAAATAAGCAAGGGGAGAGAAAAGTGGTCGCGGTGTAGGAAGTAAGGAAGAGAGCGCTGCAGAAAGCGCCCGGGCACCCTCGCCCGCTCCCGGGGCGCGTCTCACCTGGCTCACCGGAGCCGCTTGCGGGGGGTCTGCTCAGCCGGCACGGCGGCGGGGGGCGGCGGGCAGCCGGCGGGGCGTTCCGCTGCCGCCTTGGGTTCCACCGGCCTTTTCCTCCTCGCGAAGAAATCTGGATGGGGGACGGAGAGGAAGGAGAGGTCCGTCAGCCAGAGCGGCGGGACACCCCCCGCGCCCCCCGGCTCCCCACGCACGCACCTGTGATGCGGGCGGTTGGGCTCCTCCGGCGGAGCCGCATGCCGCGGCGGCGGGGCGCGGCGCGGTTCTCCCGGCTCAGCCGCCCCCCGGGCCCCTTGCCGGCGGCGGGCGGTGGCGGCGGGGACGGGGGCGCCCGGAGGAGGGGGACGCGGCACCGTCCCACCTGCAGAGTCTCCCGGTAGAAAGCGGGTACGGCGCCGGCCTCCACCTCCTCCCAGCGCAGGCGGCCGGGCCCCGGCAGCGGCGTGTCGGTTTGGAAGTTGTAGTCCCAGCGTCGCTGGTCGTCCTCGCCCATCTCCCGCAGGCGCTCCCGCAGTTCCCGACCCAGCTCCTCGTGGTCCACCGGCCCGAAGAGGCTCCTGCAGACGGGGCTGCGGCCGTGCCCGGCCAGGGCTCGCCGGGCCGAGAGGCGCTCCAGGGCGGCGGCGCCGGAGAGGTGCACGTTGGACATCGCCGCCGGGCAGGACGCGGCGGGCCGGGAAGGCGTGGATGCCCCCCCGCCGCTCCTTTCCTCCCGTCCCGTCCGCTCGCTCCCTGGCGCTCACACCGGCCGTGCCTCCCGCCTTTGAACCCCTGCCCCCGGCGGCTGCCTTTTAAACCCCGCTCCCCGCGAGTGCGAGCAAAACACCATTAGCATAATAGTGTTTCCCTGCCGCCGGCCCGCCGCGATTGGCGGGGGCCCCCCCCGCCGCCCCCCGGCCCCCGGCGGCAGCGCTGCTGCCCGCGCCCTCCATTGGCTGCGCCGGGCAGCGCCGCTCCGCCGCCGGCCGCATTGGCCCGCACCGGCCCGGCCCGGCCCCGCCGCGGACCGGGGGGGCGGCCCCGGCGCTGGCCCGGCCCCGGAGCTCGGCCGCCGCGCTCCCCGCCCGCTGCCAGCTCCGCTCCCTTTGTCTGCCGCCGGCCGCAGCTCTGCCGCCGCTTCCAAGCCGGCGACTTTCGGGGTTGTTTTTTTTCCGCTCCGTGTTGCCTTTTCTGCGTGAAGAGTGCGTGTGAGAGTGTTTTTGCTATTATTTTTACTCTTACTTTGTTTGGGATTTTTTTTTTTTTCTCCTCGACGAGTGTCGCCAGTTTTTTCAGCATCCGTGGAGCGCGGCGGCTTGGGGCGGGGGAGGTGATGCGTGTGGAGGAAAACGGGATCGTTTCTGGCTCGGGGATTTTTATTACACTCCTGCAAAACAAAGCGAGATGCTTGCAGATTTCAAAACAAGCTGAAGGCTATTTTTAAAAATAGGGCTTCTCAGCTGCATGGAAGTAATAACTTGCAGCCTTAGTGAATAGAAGTACATGAAAACCACAGCATTTTCCTCTCCTGACTTTAAAACCCACATAATACGTGTTTGTTCACTGCAGATGAACTAATCTCGCTATTGTGTTGCCAGAGATCAGCTGGCCTGTGCTTTACATTTTCTGCAGGTCACTGCAATCATTGCCTTTTGTTGTTTTGGGATGGAGGAGTATGAAAGGAAAAGAAGGGGGAGCATAATTGACACCGTGCTAAAATTGGTCCCAGAACATCATCACAGTGTTGATGTGCGTCTCAGAGGGTTATCATGGCAATGATTTTTTCGTCTGCAGACAACAAGAGGAAAGATGAACCTCTTTCATGCAGCGTGTTTGGGACCCCCTCACTCCTTATGTCCCTATGGCTCTCGCCTTTGGGAAGTTCAAACCCTTGAACAAAGACAACTTGGACGGTTTTAATCCCTAGAGGGAATAAAATTAGTATTAATTCTTAGGATGTGCTGGCTCTGCAGAGACTGCCATAGATGCTGGCTTGCTGCAGGGCTGGAGGGGTTGCAGCTTTAGGCCCCTTAGGGCAATGGTGCCCACAGGCAGGTCTGCTGCAAGAAGAAGGGCATTTGTCTTTGCATCCAATGCAAAGGCCTTGCCAAGTGCACCACAGTAAGTCCGAGGTGTTTCCACATTGATCCCACCTCTGTGACAGGGCAGCCTTCCAGCACTGCTGGGGACCCTCACTCCTGCACTTGCCATGCTGGTGAGGAGCTTGTGGCAGCTGGGACAGCCCCTGCCACCGCTCAGGTACTGCACCTTCAGTGGTGCTTCAGTCTGCCAGCACCAAGAGGTACCAGCAGTGCCCGTGGGTTTGGACCCATGGACCTGGGTTTGGCTGCTGCTGGCAGAGAGAATGTTGGAGCCCGGCTCACTGCACAGGCAGGATCTATCCATAACAAGTTTGATCTCCTGATGTTTGTGGGGACAGGTGGGGTGCTCAGTGGGAAGCATCTGAAGCTTGGTGACTGAGAGAAGACGCAACAAGTGCTTTCAGGGTGCAGATGGAGGCATGGAGTCACACCTGGCAGAAGATTTTGCTGACCAGTGGTACAGACAGACTATTTTCATTTTACTAATGGTGATAGCACTGGTGTTTCAAGAAATGTGAAGACTTTTTTCTTTTAAAGATGCCTGTTCAGATGTTATGTTAACAGCCATTCTCAGTTTCCCAGGTGAGCTGGACAGCCTACCCATGTGGCTGTTTCAAGTGAATATTACCCCACTGTCCTTTCCATCCCAAAATGACCCTTGAAGATGGCCATATGGATGTTTCTTGGCCCTAAGGATATCATTTAGGGAGCAGGTTACAAAAAGTTCCTCATCACTAAGAGCACATCATCTTAAAAAGCAGGAGATGCACATGAGTTAGGCACAGCTTCAACCAGGAGAGAAGGTGTGGGTCTCACAAGCTGGGATGTCAGAGAATGTGGTGAACATGGCACAGTGTTCACTTGGGGACTTCTCTCAGCAGCCATCAAATGCATCTCTCGGGATGTAGGTTGTGGTGGTTTTAGGAATAAATGTACTATGCAGAGAAAATGCTCCGAGTTCCCCAAGAAACCTGCTGGAAAAGTGCCCTCTATTCAAGACTCGAGCCAAAAGGCAGTGGCCAGGTCCCTGCAGACAGGGGCTCTTTGTGAGGAGTCCTCGCAAACCTGCTGCCGTCCTCCCCCCGTGCCGGCGACCGCCTTTCCTGTGTTCTGCCTTCTCGGCTTTAGACATTCCTGCCATGAAGGCTGAACGAGCAAGATCCCCCGCTATTTGCAAGATGTGGGCGTTCCCTGTGCAAAACCCACGTCCTTGTCCTTCCAAACCCTTTCAAGAGGTTAGCCAATATTTACGCAGTGCTTGAGGGACGCAAGGAACGACGGTTTCAACGTTCAGGAGTTGCCTTTTGTTTGAGGCCACTTCACCTTCCAGCTCACCTGGGAGGTAAAGCAGCTCAGGTTTGAGATTATCACCCCTGCTTTTTTTAGTTCAGCTTCCTCACTATTAATGCTCCCTAATGCTTTGACTTGATTTTTTTTTCGTCCCACTATACATTTAGGTTTTAAGGTGGTGGTGACGGTCCTGGCCGCTTTCTGCTCACAAGTTGCCAGTTCTAGCACTGTCTGTCTTTTATGTGTGGAGATAGCATCCAGCCCATTTGAGGAGGAAGTACTGTATGCACAGAGATGTTTCTAATTTTAGTGGATCTGTGAACTCTCAGGCCAGAGGGGTAGGTTATGCTCTAAACCAGCAGTTTGCCTAACATGAGCCCCAAAATCTTACCCAAAAGCTCCTGCCACCAAGCCTATTAACTTCTTTAGAAATTCCTGCTCCAGAACACTGAGCAGAGTAATTACTGCTATGGTTAGAACAATGCCCCATAAGAATGAAGCATTTTTGCTCAAAATATCCAAGTCATATCTGCTTATGTCAGAAAAAATAATGACTTTAACTGGTGTGTATTCCTGCTGGCTGCTCTGTTTCAAAAGGATGGGGAGAGGGAAAAGCAAACTCCTTTATGGCCTGTGGATCATTGCAAAGGGATTGCAATCGCAGGAGGTTTATTGCATTTGACTATTTCTGTTTGGAAAGGGTCCAGATTGACTGTCAGAGCCAGGGCTGGCTTGGCAGATAGGGGAAGAGAGGTCCTTGCACTGTAAACTGAGCAAGGAGTAACCAAGGAGATTCGATAAGAAATTATGGAGGTAACAAAAGAGAGATTCTTGGTGCTGTCATTGTGATGGGGCTAGCTGTTGTGCAGCTCCAGTTAAGTTAAGAATAAGTTAACTTATTCAGAAGAGAGGGTTTAGTGAGATGCTTATGTATAGGGGCAAGCAGTCCCCATGACAGGGTGCCATGGAGGAGCACTCCTCTGTCTTTTGGCAAGTCTTGGAGTGAACTTCTCCTGCAGGGATTGTCCTCAGCATGCTGCCAGATGAGCAGACCTGTTGTTGGGCCCCTGAGGCTTCGAGGTTTGTGCTTTGCTCTCTTCTCATTTCCTTAAGTACACACCTATCATCTACACTCAGCAATGTTTAACTCAGGATTCTTCAAACGTTGTGTGATCCACATATGATTGCTTCATTTGAGAATGTGTTGTATCCCATAATTGCTTTAGCAGAGGCACAGACCAATAGACATTGGTATTTTATCTCCTTTGCACTTCTCTTTTACTATGTATGTGATCATAAGCAATTTGCATTTATATCAGTGGCAATTTTGCTTGGTACTTTGGAATCCTGCTTAAATAAACTGATTACAATTAAGGTTCAAGTTAGGACAGACTGCTCAAACTCCTCATTGAGGCTTTTCTACCACCAAAGTGACAATTCAAATAATTCAAACTGGTATGGACTCAGAATTTTCCATTTCTTGACAAGGTCATAAAATGTCAAATTATTAGATTTGATAGCTGGTCAAAACCACACTAGTTCAGGGGTTAAAATGGGAAAAGGAAATCTGAGCAGAACCCTGGAAAAATTCTGGCAGCTTTAATTCTGTTTGAATTGCTTTTTATTGTATTCTCAAAAAAAATGCATAAGCTAATATCTCTGGAAAAAATTGCTTCATTTAATTTAATTTCCTTTAATTCTTTTTTTTTATTATTCCTTCTGTTCTTAGTTGTTAAATGAAGAGCCAGCCTTGCTGTCCAGCTGCTGTGCATCATTAGGGTAGCACAAAGGTAGCAGTGAATTTAGCCTAATCTATTGATGGACCTGCCAGTGCACCAGGGGACATTGCATTCTCTCTTCACACTCCTCTTTCGCTCTTGCCATCATGTCGTTTTACTAGATGAACTCCACTCACCATCTGGCCCTTCATCCTGACTGGGATCCTCGTTTGCAGGATGCTGTGCTGTTAATGGGGAAAGCAGGCTGCGAGTGGCAGGTACCAAGCAGCATTTTGAGCTCGCAGTATGTACCTGTGGAGGGTGGCTCTTTTTTGCTTGCTGTCTGTGTAGCTGTATTTGAGCAGTAGTTAAATGCTCCAATTATTTATATTCCCTGCTTTTCTGTTGGTGTAATTGCTGTCAAAGTCATGCTCTATGCTCACAGGTCCTGTTCATTGCCACTCTTCGCATTAAATGAGAGGTTTGCATTTTGCTTGTTTTGACATTCCCCTCGCCTTTCATCTTGATTCATGGTAATATTATTTTTGGAGTAGCTTTTC